GGAGCCCGGGTTGCCGGGCCCTCCCTCCACGTGTCCGGAGGCAGGCTGGCTCAGGCTTGGTGCCTTAGTGCCGCATGAACGCTCATCATCGCCGTCGTCATTTATCATCACCGTCATCATCATCATCATTATGTTTTTTTTTTTTTTTTTTTTTTTTTTTTTACTTTTATGTGTTTGGGTGTCTGCATGTATGTAAGTGCACCATGCATGCAGTACCCATGGAGTCCAGAAGTGGGCACCAGATCCCCTGGAACTGGAGTTGCAGATAGTTGTTATCCACCATGTGGGTGTTGGGAACCAATCCTGGGTCCTCTGGAAGAGCAGCCAATACTCTTAACCACTGAGTCATCTCTCCAGCCCCCCCTTTACAGCTTTTGTAGCTTATCTTGTTATGCTGCAACATCCCACCACATCACTATGCCTTCTCTCTCTCAAACTGCCTTCTAATAAAATCTGAGAGTTCCCGTGAGGATTTACTCATGGACGAAGTAGTGATTCCATCTCTGGACTTAGCACTGGGGAAAGGGCAAGTACTAATAACTTCTTCCTTTCCAGTCTTTCCTTTTTCCTTACACTGAAAGGAAGTTGGAAGCTATCTCCTTGGTATGTGATTTAAAATGTGATAAAGTAGAAACAGATAATAGAGAACTGGTAGGTAATGGGATATGTGTAGGTTTTTGTTCTTATTCCTGTGCTGGGCACCAAACCCAGGGATTCATGCCTGCTAAGCATGTGCTCTGCCACTGAGCCGAACACCCAACCCCATATTTTGTTTTAATTTGCTTCTAACTTAAAGTATTTGTGTTTTTCCAACATTACTCCTCCTTGGAAAAAGCCCTAACTAATTCTGCTTGGCATTTTATTAAAGGGAAAGAAACTTGGCTTGGTAAAAGATTTCTCAAAATATTTAATTTTCATAAAAGGCAGCACGCATAAAATATTTGTATGATTTTAGGCTAACTTCAGCTGTGAGCACCAAGCAGCAGTTGAGAACCAAGCTAGTTCATGTTTCTGTGCCCAGATATCTTCCCTCTTCCACTCGCTCCCCTTTCTGTAGTCTGTGACCTGTGGGACTAGAACATTGGGCTTCAGTTCTGGGATTGCTGGCCGGAGATAGTAGGAAGAGGGCCAAGCAGTCCTGAGCCAGCCTGCAGTCCAGGATTGGGGTTCTGGAGATTGTGGTGGGACTTCCTCCTGGTCTTGCTACTGTTTATACCAGTGTCTCTTGCCTGAGTTCACCTGAGAACTAAGATAACACCTAGCCCACAAAGTTGCTCACACATCTTTGAAACCTTTAGAAGATGAGAGGGGCCAACGAGATGGCTCAGAGAGTAAAAGTGCTTTCAGAGCAAGCCTGACGACCTGAGCTTGATCCCCAGAACTCATGTTATATTCGGGGGAAGAAAACTCCCAAAACTTTTCCTCAGACCCCATAGATGCTGTGGTACTTCCGTGCCTGTGCAGCACACACAATAATAATAAAATTGTAATGAAATCTTTAGAAGGTGAGACAAAATTATTTAATGAAAGCAAAGTTCAAGGGAACTAAATGGAAAGAAACTTTTTATCATTTTTTAAACTAAAAATGCTTCTTAATCTATAATATCATAGACCTTTGAACAAGCATTAACTTTAAATAAGCATTAACCATTCAAGAAGTAGTTTAAGTGAATACTAGAGTGTCAGATTAGTAACTGTGATTTTTGTTATACATGAATCTATAAAAGCCTCTCTGATTTTGATCAGAGCCTATGAAAGAAATGTGTGTAAAAAAACAATATGAAACAGTAGCATCTGGTCGATTCATTCATGATCCTGAAAGGTACATTATTATTGTCTAGAAATCAACTCCTCAAGAGGCTAGCTAGCTACATGCAGCTTCTCCAGCAAGGCCCCCTGGGGTTCCTTTTACCTATCATGACCTTTATATTGGGGCAATTTGTAGCAGACTGTGGATGCTCTAGTCCCTTCAATAAGCAGAGCAGCATTCACAACAGTCCCCTGCACATCCTTCCATATACTTTGTATCATCTGTAGATTGTTTATGATCCCTAACATGATGTAAATGGTATGTGGTTATTAACACTGTATTGTTTAAGGAATAATGTGAGGAAAAAAATGCCTAGCCAGGTGTAGTGCACAGGCTATAGTCCCAGCATTGATGAGGCTGAGGCAGGAGGATTGCCATTCCAAGTCCAGCCTGGGTAACATAGTCTCAGAAAACAAAACAGAGGCTGAGTATGATGCACACACACCTGTAATCCCAACACTTGAGAAGTAGAAGCAGTAGGATCAGCAATTTAAGGACATCCTCAGCTATATAGGGACTTCCAGGCCAGCCTGGGCTGCATGAGACCATGACTCAAACAAAAACAAAAAGGTTGTCCATGTTCAATTCAAAGACAATGTTTTAGGAAGTCTTTTCTAAACTGTGTTTGATTGAGTCATCACTGTGGAACCATAAGAGATGGAGGCCCACGTCCATCCTTCCATTCTGTTGCTGTGTGGTCTCCAATTTTGTTCAATGGATTCATCTTGTCATAGCCTGCTTGCTTAACATGCCCCACCCCCAAGAGATCTGCCTAGGATTCCTGCTGGACCTTCAAAGTTGGGCAGTCTCTTCCTTTGAGAAATGGGTTCTGACTTGCTGGGCCCAGGTACACTATGAGCCTCTGATGGGGCTTCTAGTTACTGCTTGTGGGAAAGGGATAACTTGATCCCCAAACTGCTTTCAGGGCATTTAAGTGACAAAGATCAAGGAAATTCTCTCCTGATTGTCTTGTCTATTTTAGTATTTTTAAGTGATCAATAACACATGCAGAAAAGCATAAAGCATTCTCTATAGCTTAATGAATTTAGTATGTTGTAAACACACTGGTCAAGCTGCCTCCTCACTTGCAGAATCTGGTGGCTGCTGCTCCACAGACTGCCTTTTCATCTTGAGCTTGGCGGACACATCTCTGAACAATACAGTTCTGTTTGCCTGACTTTGAACTTTTATGAATGGAATCGTGCTATGTCTGGTGTTTAGTGCTCCCATTGCCAGGAGCATTCCCTCCTTAGAAAGCCATACTTGCTTCCTCAGCTTCTAGTTGGGGACCACAGTGCTGGCTGGAGCATTGGAGGGTGTAGTTCCTGCAGGGGCGGGGGCACACATTGTACTTCTCTGGGTCAGTGTGTCTCAATCTTTTTCTGTTGTCACCTCTCCCAGGAAGAAAATGTAACACTAAAGTTGCAGATTATAAAGTGGCCCTGAAAAACAGAGTTCTGTTGGAGGAGTCAGTCTTTGGAGGGCCACCAACCATGGCCATCGCCAAGATTTTTTTTTTTCACCTGCTCAAACCCAAGTATTTCCCTTTTGGGCATTGATACCACTCACACGGAGATCTACTCCACACTTTTTATCTGGGATCATGGTGGCTGGGTAATAGAAAATGACTTTATCATTTTTTCAACTTTATCAACTCATGACAAACCACCTTCCAATGCATCTAGGCCAGTATAAGTGATTTCCAGTAATATATGCAAATTCTGTAGCTCTCCATTCTTTCCAAATTCCTGGTACATCATATTTTGAAAATTCTCCAATCAATTAAGTATGTAGCAGCTTTTTGGCTTTTTATTTTCCTTTTCCTGATTTTGGAGTAGGGTGTATGTTAGATGTCTGAAGGTTTTTTTTTTTTTTTTTAGATTTATCTTATTTTTAATTGTGTGTATGTCTGCATGTAGGTATGTGCACTTGTATGCCAGTGCCCGTGGAGGCCAGAGGCATCAGATCCCCTGGAGCTGGGTTTCAGGCTGTTGTGAGCTGTCCAACATGTTGTGAGGTACTGGGAACTAAACTCGGGTCCTCTGCAAAAGCAGTACATACTCTTAACCACTGAGCCCTGTCTCCAGCCCCTGAGCATCTGAAGTTTATTGCTAATTTGGATTCTTCTTCCTCAGTGTTTTATTCCTCTATCTGGTATGTTCCAATACTTTTAAGTCCTTGTTAGAAGAAAGTACAGTAGCATGACTTGAAAAAGATGATGAGACCCACTGACCACCAACCGGTATTCTAATCACAGATGAGCTGTGTGGCTTGGTCAGAGTTCATATCCTTTCCACTCGGGCGCCTGCTGGAACTGTCTGGGATGCTTTTGAAAACACCTTTAGAGAACCCTAGCACCAGAAAGCCTGATTCAGAGGGATCAGGGATGAGTAAGTCTCCCTCCAGATTCATTCTCTGATCATGAGAGAGCGAATCTTGTATGATTTTGATTGTCCTCCTGGCCCACACTCTGAATCAAAATTTATTTCTCTATGGAACTGTCACCTGTCCTTGTAATGAAATAAGAATGAGTAGGAAACTCCTTCGTTGAGTCCCTAGAGGACACCTGCTGTCAGCATTCTAGGACTTTTTTGTAGGTGGTATAACTTTCAGGTCTGTTAGAGTTTTCTTGTACTTGTGGTGACACTTGTGGTGACAAAAAACCCATCCAAGGACACTAACAGGAAGTTGTAGAATGAGCCTTAAGGAACACACCTCTTGCCCAGCCCTGGATTCATTCCTGAGTGGCCAGCATTTGATTTCCTCCTGTGAGATTCTCTAAGTCCAGTTGTTCAGGGCACTGCTCTGTCCTGACCCTCTTCACTGTCCAGTTGAGCCACCTGTGCTGGACAGGTTGTTTTGGTTAAGGACTTGGCTGTCCTGACCAGGGCTTCGGGTGGATGCTTATGGGGGCAGGGGCTGTGAGAGAGCAGCAGGCTGTTCCATAGACCTCTGTGTCTTCAGTCTCCCAGAACAGACTGGCATCAGGCCAGAGCTACTACTCTCTAGTGCCCTTTGCCAGTTATAGCCATATCACCCATGTTCAGTATCCAATACTTACACAATTGATCATCATAGCAATGGGGTCATCAAGGGGAAACCTTTAGCTCTCTAGACCCTGGCTGGGAATGACTGAAGCCAAAACTTGAGCTAGGTTTAGGATAACAATTAACTATGGCTGTTACTGCAGGAAAAGGTCTCTCAGAACCGAGCAGTGACTTCACTGAGGACCAGACCACCGAACTCAAGGAGGTCTTGCAGATGGGTGAAAGCAAAATCCTATACAATCAATGTAAGGACAATGGTGAGGGGTAGGGCAGAACCCTACCACCACAAGGTGCCAGAGGCCCTGGAGAACCCTGGGGAATGCGGAGCTGAAGATTGAGCACTTCCTATTCATACTGCAAACCTTGGCCAAGAACAAAAACCCAGAAGACTGTGAGGAAAGGCCTTCATAGGAGCAAAAATCTGTCATGTCCTTGTCACACTGGGTGAGAAGCTGACAGAGGAAGAAGTGTAGACGCTGGTGGCAGGGCATGAGGGCACCAGTGGTTGTATCACCTGCTCAGAGCTGGTCCGCAGGGTGCTAAATGGCTGAAGAGGGCCCCATATCTCCATCCCATGCCTTGCCCTGAATGAGGTTTCTGTGTGGCCCCTGAGGCTTCCTGGGCTACCTTATCACAGTGTGTTTCCCATCCGGTCTCTTTTGGATGGTGTTTGTTCACCAAGCAGATTTGCTCTCTTTGTCCTAAAAAAAAAAAAAAAAGAAAGAAAGAAAGAAAAGAAAAGGAGAAAAGGGGGAATTTATTTCCTCACAGAATCAAGCCCAAGGATTCTGGACTGGGGCATGGTTTCTGTTAAGACTGTCTCTGTCTCAGGGCTCATCACTGTTGCTGGCTTTTTTTCTCTCTGCAGTGGGATCTTTTTTTTTGCTGCCACCTAACAAGGATCATGGACATAGACAACTCTAAAATCTCATTCTTTCTGTAGCCACACCTTTTGCAGTGGCTCTTAATACAAAGGATGCTCAGCCAGGCTTGGATCATATGACTTCTCTGGACCAAATACAAAGGGCAAGGAAGGGCTACTCTGTTGAGTCAGCTTGAACTAGGAGGGTGGGGAGGGTTGATTGGCAGCCTTCCCTCAGAACCAGGAGGTTGCTGTAAGCAAGGGGAACATTTCCCATGAGAGGAATAGGCTGGCATGGGTGCTGGCCACACAAGGCACAAATCCCTCGTAATCTGTATGCTCTTAATTCTACTCCCATGCCTGACCTTGTCCCTGCTTTCCTAGGAGTGACTGAAATTGAGATATTTGGTACAAACATGTGAAATTCCAGTCCCCAGGATTGCCACCAAGCTGGACTTTGCTTTCTGGATTTACTCCATCTTTTCATCTCACCACAGATACCAGAAATGAACTCTTCATTCAGCCAGTCTCAATGAACTCGCTGTGTGGTACATCACCAGCTCTCAAAAAAAGAAGGACATTTCTGAGGTTGTAGTGCGCCTTCCTATCTCCTTAGTCCCTAGAAGTGGCACTCTAGGGTTAAGTCTTACTCCCTTTCCTCCCAGCCCCACTACAATATCATGCAGCCATCTCCCCTGGGTGGTGAAGGACAGCGCCCAGCCCTTCTGCCTCAGTGTGGACTTAGGAGCCAGAGAGCCTAAGGCCAGTGTGTGGCCTTATCTCTTCCCAGATGGTCACGGTCAGGGTCAGTGTATCTACCTATGGACCTGAGCTTTTACTCTCCTCAGCAGTCTGAAAAAATGACTTCCCATGCTGCAACTTGTTGATAAACTGGGATCTGTAATTAGGAACATGAGCAGCACAATACAGGCCTCACACAAATGAAAAGTGTGGGATTACGGGCCCCTGTGGAGTATTTGGTACAGAAGGAGGAGGCAGCAGGAGAAGCTGGTTGCTGTTGAACAAATTGCTACCAGATGTTGATTTCAATAAACACCATACTTCTGTTCCCCTGCCCAAAGGTGCTATGAATTTCTTGAGGCAATGGAGCCATCAGTAAACTAAAGACACTTCCAATATGATGAAGCCATAGGGTATCCCCTGTCCCTGGGTAATGATGCCTGTGAGTCTCTCTCCCCTTCCCTGAATTGTATACCACCATAAGAGACTTAAAATGTAGCAGCCAGACCCCATGGAACCCAAGAGAATCCTGAAACCAGGGTTCAAAAGAAGTTGTCACAAGGGCCAGGGGTGAAAGAGGGCCGTAGAAAGAGAATGCACAGTCGGAGTATTTGAGAGCTTGCCCTGTGGTGAGCAGGCCACCAGCATGCTAAACATGGGAAGGAGATGGGCCTTAAAGTGGCAGGTAAAGATAAATAGTGGACAGGCCCTGAGATGTCCCTTGAGAGAGCACAGTGTGAACTTGTGACATGAAGGCTACCCACCGTGTCTGCCCTCACTGCCCGCTGTGATGGCCTGACAGATACGCGTCAGGGACTTGGCTGTGCCTTGAAGGGAGTGGCAATGAGAGGTGCAGTCGGTTTTAATAAGACACTGGCAAGGTCCTTATGTGCCCTAGAAGGGAGTGATCTTGGGTTGGTGATTTTCCTGCCCACTCTCTTGGTTATGGCTCTCTAGCTAATTAAAAACAAAAAGCCAATCAAGCACAGAATGACTAGCCTGCCTCCATGTAGCAGCTGTGTTTGTAGCATAAGCCATGTGGTTTCCTCATCTCCTTTCCACAATTAGATGTGTTCCTCATGGAGGGCAAGGTCCCTACCTTCCCTCCATATACCCACCTTCAGATGGCCAGGCCCTCAGAACTGCATGCAGGGGTCAGCTAGAAGAGAAAGTAAAGTTTCCAGGGAAGACACTCTCACTGCTAAGACCCCATTTCCATGTCGCATGTCATAAGCATTGACAGAGCTGCCCTGGGGTGACTGAGCTCACCCAGGATGCCTTTGGCTGTCTACTGGCAAAGCACTGCCTGGTCATGAACGCCTGGGGACCCTGTCGCATCAGGATAATCTGTCCCTCATTAGATGCTATGATGACCGACCTGAGAGTTCACCCTCTTCCACATGATGTACCAAGCATGAGTTTGGGTCATCGCATTTAATCTTCATAGTCATTTTATTTCACAGATGAAATTGAGGCACAGGGTGTCCATGTAAGATGCCACCATCAAAGAGCTAGTCCATGTCAGAGCCAAGTCACTGGCTCCCTTGCCTTGGTTCTTCCCCTCTCTGTATGGCCTCTTACCTATTAGATGGGTCTGCATGTAGCTGGTTGAACTCCTTTCTTTTAAAAAATAAATTATTATTTTTATGCGTATGAGTGTAGTGCTTGTATGTATGAAAGTGTACCCCTGTTGTACAGTGCCCAGTGAGGTCAGAAAAGTGTGTCAGATCCCTTGAAACTGGAGTAATAGATGGTTGTTAGCCACCATGTCAGTGCTAGGAATCGAACCTGGGTCCTCTGCAAGAGCAGCCAATGCTCTTAACCACTGAGCCATCTCTCCAGCCTCCTGAACTCCTTTCTTAACAGCAGGCCATAATTTTCACATTTTTAAACCTCTGTTCTCTAGATTTGTTTTTTCATGGCTACCTTCATGTCCCATGGTCTCTATCTGTTCGGGTCAGAATTCAGTGTTAACTCCACCACATGAAGGCTCCTGGGAACTGATTGCCACAAACAAAACTCATAGCCGAGTGATACCTGAACTAGACAGTGGGGCTGTCCTCCCCACCACTCCTCATGCACACACAAGGAGACAGATGGTGATTGGAAGGTTGGGGACTCACCTCATGGGACTGTGGTTACTCATTTCCAGCAAGATCTTCTTGGATTATCTTGCTGGTTTCTCAGTGGTGACTGAGACCTCACATTTTTGCACGTTGACCTTCCTCTTCCCAAGCTCCACAAACTTTCTGCAGGTAGACAGGCCCTAGCTTTCTTAATTAAAACCGTGTTTCCCATCATCACTTTGAAGTCAAGAGATTCCTGGTCTCTGCACCTAGTGTCCCACAGTGTCTTCAGTTATCAGCTCGCAGGTCGAGTATCTTCCTACCTGAGTTCTCACTGGTTCCACTGTGGCCTTGTACAGATGTACCCTCCATGGACGTCGGGTCATTGTGACCTGGGACAACCTCTTGTTTGTTGCTTAAGACCCAGGGAGACTAGCCCTCTGAATCTTAATGGAACAGGCTAGAGACCCAGGGAGACTAGCCCTCTGAATCTTAATGCAACAGGCTAGAGACCCAGGGAGACTAGTCCTCTGACCCTTAATGGAACAGAAGACAAATTGACACATGTGTTTAAAACAACCCAGTACATCTGAATCTTTACCAAGCAGGGGAACTTTGGAAAGGGTAGGTCAGGCCAGGTGCTGGGTGCAGAGGAAGGTGAAGGTCACGTCTACAGATCTGATCAGCATGTGCTGGATGAAGCTTGGTGACATCAGCCTAACAGATTTCACCTAAGGAAGCAATACAGCTTGTGGCCCATGGTATCCCTGGGACAGAGAGCCTCTGCCAGCTCACATGTGACTCTTGTAGCCACAAGAAAGCCCTGGAGTTGTGCACAAAGCATTTGTGTGTTGGGCATTGAAGGCAAGCCCCAGAATTTACTCCCCTCTGTGACTGCAGCCCCTCATAAGAACAGCCATCCACAGAAAACAGGAATACTGTTTTGAGAAGCTAAGTGAGATTCCCTGTGTGGAAAATGTGCAGAAATGGCAAGCCACAGAGGTACAGAAGAGATCAGCATTGGCCAGGGAGTGTGGAGGGGAGGGGCTGGGGAGAACAAAGTATAGTGAAGAGTATGGCTTGCTTTGGGGATGAAGAGATGATTTCAAATTAGAGAGCAGTGATGGTTGCACAACTCTGAATGCACTAACCCTGTACTCTAAATGGGTGGATTTATGGTCTGAGTTATAGTTCCAAAATGGGAAGATAAAACACATAAAAAAGCCCACTGGGCACTTAACCAGAGCAGGGAAAGATCAATGGTGTCTGTGAAGCAGATTCCTGGCACTGATCTGAACCTGTGGAATCATGTATGTGTCATTCCCTTCATGGTGCACCCATCTGCCCCTCCCCCCATTATCCCTACATAGATGGGGAACCAGTTGATACAGCTTATTTACATAGGTCACTCTAAAAGCTTCCATAAACACCACAAAACTGAGGTCTCCTAATTTCAACTTACAGAGCCAAGTACAATGTGTATTTTTTCTGGGTAAGAGGGAGGTTTTGGTGCTTTAGACCCATTAATGCACTGCAGCATCTCCATGTTACTAACAACAATGTCCAGTTGGCCAGCATTTGCTAATGCTGTGAACCCAAGCCAAGACCAGCATTTATCTACAGGCAGTATAGACTCATGGGCCAAAGTAGGCCCAGGGCCAATCCAGCGGGCACCAGGCTCTGTTACCGCCAAACCCACAATCTGTTAAAACCCCTAAAGGGCAGTAGTGACAAATAATCCCCTTTGTTAATGGGGGGGGGGATCTTCAGCTCTGCCAGCCATGCCTAGAGGGGAAGGTTTCCTCCTGTACTATGAGAGGAGGGTGTGGTCAGCTTCATGCTGAGGTGGCCAAGAATCCTCTAGATGCCTGGGAAGAGGACAGGCAGGGCCGTGGGCCTTCTTCCCATGTGGCCCAAGCACTGAATGTCCTTATGGTGTGGAAAGGCCTGTCCACAACTTTGTTAATATTTTTTTCCACCTAGAAACAAGCCAAACTGTTTTAGGGTAATTCTGAGTAATCCAGAGCCATCCTTACAAAAGATAATTCCAGAAAACTCAGAGGGCTAAAAGATGCTCTCTAAAGGAATATTTCCTAGCCTCTACTGTCCCCCTTTCGCCAACAGTGGCACAACCTCAGTCAGCCTGTATTTAATCATGGGGGAGAGGGGACATGAGAGAATTAGCCATTGGAAAAGGGCGGAGAAGTGGGCAGGAGGGGGATGTCTATTTAGAAGACCTTAAAGTACTGCAGCTGTTGGGCTAATTTTTCTCATTTCAGTGATGTTTCAAGCAGGCCCTTTGTCTTCTCTGTGGGGTAAATTCACTTAACTCTCTCATGAGTCATCCTGCCCACAGACCATCTCTCTGGAGTAGCCCTTGTGAAAATAGGCAATCCGTATTGCCTTGTGTGAACCAGCAGTTGTGTGCACCTCCCCAGCGTGGGCTGGGATCTGCCTGCTGTGTCCATATGTCAGGACTTCTAATGTCCAAGTACACCTGTGGCAACAGAAGAGTGCCCGAGAGGACAGCTGGAGTCTGAAGTGGAGGCTGACAGTGCAGCAGACTCAAAGGACCATGTTTGCCCAACTTGTTTCTTTTTTTTGTTTTGGGGGGATTTTGGGTGGTGGTTTGTTTTCTTGGTTTTTGATACAAGGTCTCCCTATAGCCTCAGCTGGCCTGGAACTTGTTATATAGACCAGGCTGGCCTTGATCTCATAGAGGTCAAAAGGACTGCCTCTGCCTCCCAAGTGCTGGGATTAAGGTGTGCATTACTTTAGAGGCAGGATCTCAAGGCTAGCCAAAGCTACACAGTGAGATCCTGTCTAAATAAATAGTTAATTAGAATCTTAGAAGGCTTTTAGACTTTTTGACAACAGATGAAAAATTTCTGAAGAAGCGATAAGACGGGTCTGGGCTAGGGCAGTAAATCTGAGGAAGTTGGCTAGTGGAAGGTGAGCATTGTCTATTACAGCCAGATAACGTATACAGATCCACCCAGAATCGGTGGTTTCCCTGCTGATGAGGGTCATTTCCTTGTCTTGGCACAGGGGTGGCATCTTTCTCACAGGACTTTGATGACTTGCTGCAAGTGCAGAAAGGGCCACCGCAATCACCCTCTGTATGTAACTGCTGTGCTCGGGCGCCTTGCATTGGAAACCACCTGTGTGCCAGTGTGTGTTGGGGTGGCACAGTCTTAATTTCTTCATTGAAGTCCCCCAGCAACTGGCCCTGGTCATCTAGCTGCTCTGTCTGGAAGGTTTGTAGATTTTACAGGCGTAAGCTCTCTTCCCACAGTTTGAGAATTCGGCAAGAGAAAGCAGCCTGCCTCAGAGGAGATGTGTGTAGATAAATGCTATTATGTTAGTTTGCTGCTGCTAAAGCCAGCTTTTTTGTTCACATGATGTTTCTCAGCTATTTAGCTAGTACATCTGGCCAGCAGTTTTATTCAGGCTTCTCTGCAGAGACACTGAACTCTTGGCTCTAGGGACTGGACTGGATATCTGAGGCTGAGAATGTGGCTCAGTATAGAGCAAGTGTGAGACCCTGGGTTCTGTGCTAGCAGTGAAAAAAGACCAAAATAATGAAAACCAAACACCCTGGCATTGAAGCAGTGGCATGGCCATCCATTGTTCCTCTTGGTTACAAACAACTCTTTCCCTAAAGAACACCTCAGATTTACTCCCAAGAGACCACTTCACCCACAGCCTTGTTCCCTTCCCTGTGCCATTCTAATGGAGTTGCCCCACCCTGTGCTCAGGGTTGGAACTTGGCAACCTAGGCCCAAGATATAAAACACATCATATGAGAGCGACAGTGCCAGGGATCGGATTTGAGGCCTCAAGCGTGCCAGGCAAGCGTTCCGAGCTGTACAGCTGGCCCCAGGAGCCAGGATCAGGACAGTGACATCTGGACAGCCTTGTGCTGACTTTGTGGACAGCTGACAGCCACACAGGAAGGAGAGCCGAGCGTGGCTGGGCTGGTACTGAGAGGACAGTCATGGTGTCCTCTAAACCCTGTGGTAGGCTGCCAAGAAGACACCTTTCTCCTAGTATACTGAGTGAGCTGACAAGTTCTTTTTGGTCAGAACTGGGTTTTCTGACTCTTGCCAGAAGTCTTGAATTATAACTCCTTTGGAAACCTTATTTCACTCTTGTCCACCTTGTGGTCTGAGGCATGCATTCTTACTGGGTTGGATAGATTTGTGTCTAACAGTGTGAGGAACAAGGAATTGTTCTGGGTCCTGAGGAGCTGCCCTATCCAACACAGCAGCCTCTATGACATGCAGCACTTTGAATTCAAAAGAATGAACGTTAAGTACAGTTAAAACTCTCATTCTGAAGTCACACTGTCCGTGCTTCAGGTGCTATTGCTCCTCATCGGCAGCCTGGCTGCCCTCACAGTCCCCTCACTGTGAGCTGCTCTCAGGCTTGCTGTCTGGGCCCCCACGCAGGGCTCTGGCTTTACTCACACAGGCTTACTTACCATCCCAGAACATTTCTGACCTTTGCCACACCACCTGTCAACCCACCCACAGTTTATTATTTTTCCTCAAAACTTACTTCAGGTTTGGGCAGATGGCTCAAG